TTTGAAAAGAGGCAACGGGAATGTGGAAGCGTGAGTAGAGCCGCATGCCACTGAACAATCAGCCTTTTCACCGTGTAATTCAAAGCGTGCAGAGCACGCAGGGTCACAAACCGAGAATTTGCGGTTTGGCAGGTAGCCTTCGTGGCCAAGCAAGGCTGGAATTCTTCCTGGCGCGAAGGGGTTAGCCAGATGATCTGTTAGAGTGTGAAACATACATAAAAATAGTATGACATTTGGGGACTTACCTGAAATTGATGAGATACTGTGCAAAAGCAATACTCTCGGACTGCCCAGTAATGGTTACCACTCTGTCTGGACTTCCTTCCTTAACATCGTTGATTTTAATGTTTGCTCCCGATAGTTGTCTGTCAAAATAAGTACAGGTAGACTATATGCTGAGAAGAGACTTATGAAACTGTCTCCAACTTATCAAATCTCTCACTGAGCACAACACGACAAGGATAAGCATAAATTTTAATTCAGTGTAGTCTCCACTCCAAACAGAATTAAGAAAGAACCCCAAAATGTGATTTCAATCCATGTTCTTCCAGGAAGATGTGGATATGAAACTTTGCCATTGACTGATCATAGATTGAAGACAGAAGAATGGCCTTACCTTATTTCTTGGATCTTGCTACCCTGTCTTCCAATGACACAGCCAATGACCTGTAAATTAATGGAAGAACTAGCTGTAGTTAGGAGAAGCATGGAAGACGACATTCCTTTTAATGAGAAATTGATAATGAATAAAACAAATGACTTAAATATGACTTCAGATGGTCACAAAATCAACTGGCAATATAAACTTATTACTTATTAGTCACATCTTTAGTTATGCATGAACTAAAACCGTGAAAGTTAACACGAGTGCAGTGCTTAACACTCCATAGTAGTTATTCTTCTGTGCATTTACACATGGATTACTTGTGACCTGCAGGAAAGTCCAAAGCAAACTTCACTTTTATCAGAGTTGGCTTCATGTTTTGTAAGTCTCACTTGAACTAAAAGAACTGTGTAAGTATAACATTTCAACGCAAGACTAAATAAGGAACAGTTAAATGAATATTTATTTCAAGCAACAGACGGATGTCTTATGAATAACCATCCAAACATAAGCAGGTTGTCTGTGCAAAAACACAAACTTTTTGACTAATAAAGGCCACTCATATTTTCATTTCTTTCTCAGCTCAAGTTCAGACAATAAAAGCTCTCTGCCTCTTCGATAACACTCTACCTTGAAAAACCCAGACCAAAGTCTCTGAGAAGATAGAAAGTAGAGAGTAGCTTTACTTACACTGTTAGGTATCGTTATCTCATGAGTCTGTTGGTTATTTGTTGCTGCAACGGGAACGCTGTTAGCTGCAGCTGCACTGTACTGCTGAATTGCACCTACAGTAGAGAAAAGAAAGAAACTTGTCGACACTGAGGGTGCTCAAAAGGAAGAAATGTTGCCAACAAGTCCTACTTGGCTTATTGCATTCACAATTTTAAAAAAATGTGATTTAACAAAGGAAAGAAAAAACTCTTAAATGTGATGTATACTACCCAATTAATACTTCAAATTAAAAAGACTGCCTCTTATAAAGAGTAATTCATAGAAGAAACTGTGATACAAAGTTTCAATTAAAGTGGCACCATGACAGAAAAAAAAGTAACAAACAAGGAAGAAAGGTTAGAACTGTGACACAATAAAAGACACATACATAAAATACACGAAGACAGCAGAGCAATATTACTAATGAAATGCACAGTGGAGAGGACATTCTTACAAGGGATGAGGGTCGTCATGTCAACAGAAAGAGGATGGCAAGAAAGAGAGAGACTGAGAGAGTTTGACATACCTGCAGGAAAATGGGACTGCCCTGGGATGGTGAAGGGGGTGGTTGTGTGTTGCATGGCATATTGTAGCTTGGATAACTGAAACAAACCACAAACAAATGGGGTTCAAAGGTCACAGGTCAGGTCCGGATGGATTCTTCCCTCTGGTATTGTGTGCAACGGTAATGGGAAGGTTTCCTCTATAGGTTCTTTACGTAAGGAAACTACCACAGAGTTAGGTCTTATGATCAAGATTGACTGACGCCCTTTTTTGAGAAAGTTAGTCTTCCAACATGCCCAAACTGCCCAAAGGCAAAATGACAAACTTTCTTTAGTTACTGTTAAAAGAAGTATCTTTCCCGATTTCAATTTTCAGTGTGCTAGGGTGGCCAGGAAGGGTCAGATGGATGAAGATGGTAACTTCTTGTGCTGCTAGAGGGTAAAGTTATTAGGTGCAAATAGGACAACAGTGAAGCAGAAAGGAGGGTCTTTCTCTGGTGAATCAAGTAAAACATAGGGTATATCAAATTTGAAGCATCATACCATTTCAGAAAACTCTTCTTCGGGATATATGCCTGGAGAACATTATCTTTGAAAATTTCAAAAAAAAGTTAGTCAGTCGAGCCATTAAAAAAGATTCTTGGTTCTCACCTGGTTACCTACATCGGGCTGTGGTACAGCATAGTTCCCATGCACTGCATAGGCCTGCATAAAAAACAATGGCAATTTTCTTCCATTTCTGTTGATTACAGCAATATCCTGTTGACAGCTGCAAGTATTTCTAAGAAAGAGCCAAACCGTGCTTAAACAATGTAAACGTCTTTCATAAAAAATCATGTTGGGGTAATTGGCTTCATTTTTTTCAAATGATATAAAAACTGAAGTTAGAAAAACAAATGAAATCAAGCAAACGCAATCAGACTTGAAGTAAAATTGTATGACAGAACTTTACACACTTATAAACATGCAACAACTTGCCTTTAAAGGTATCAATTACATGCAGGCAAAGAGAAACAATATTTAACCACTTTACCTGACCCCCTGCAAAGATGATAGGAGTTGATGTTTGCTTGGGTCTATAGGGAATTGTTGCTCCTTTGGGTGGTGACTACAGAAAGAAGACATAAATCGATATACAATCACTGTATATCAATCGCCCTGATTTGCATGCATAGGTAGGAATGGAAGAACTTAAGAGGGTAGCTGCAGTCAATTTGTTTGTATACAAACCTTCAAAATGCACCTTTGTATCTCCTGATTTTAACTTTTGTTTCACTACATTAAAGAGTATTTTACTATCTTTTGGGTTTTGTACTAATGATTATTTCCTTATGTATGAGCAAACTGTGAGGTCATCCCAGGAAGAAAGCCTCCATGAAACACTGGTTTATAATGCAGAATATTGTCCTATTTTTTTGTAGATTTTGTGGGACAGACTTTTTCCTTCTTGGACACTTCAGTGTTATTTACTGCACATAGCAATAAGCAAGCATCAATCCCTTTCTTGAGAATGTTTTCAGTAAGTAAATCTTGGGTTCACAGTTTCACTTAATAAACCTATACACTGAACTACATGTATATCTTCCCTGAATGACACCAAAGCAACAGCGCCCTCAGTTGTCCAGGAAAGCATAGATCATTTTAAGTATTAAAATTTTTACCAAATGGGAATATAAAAGAGTTTTAAATATATCCAAGATGAATACAAAGTTGCAGAAAAATCGTGTCTAAGAAAACTTCATTGCGGCTTTACTTTAAAGATGGCCACAAGTGAGAATATTTCAGTCACAGTATACTACCGTATCAAATGGCATCTAATGAAGCCAGGAAAAGTAGCCACAAAAAACAGCTGGTCTACATGTATTTGGCTAAGTTGATCCCAAGATGATGTTTTGTGCATGATTTCATTTTCTCATTTCTAAGAACCTTAGAAGGACATATACCTTTGGGTTTTGTGTCATAAGCATATCTACTCGGCAAAAAGTACGTTCAATAACTGAAACGTTTATGCTCGACAAGGCTTACAGAACTATATAGATTCAATATTCCAAAATAAAAACCAAAGTTCAGCAAAGTGGAAATATTATTTAAGGCATGGGTTCGCATGGGGAAACTTTCTCTAATGACATGGAGATTAGATTCACGAGAAGAAAAACGAACATGTATTGTTAGCTTAACTCTAAACCATGCTGAACCAAACCAGGATCCAACATAGTGTTTTTGTTCTTGTATGTAGGGCTCTGCATGCTACAAATGTTATAACTGTTGGATGTCATTGGGTTCCGCTGGGCAATAGCACAATGTAGTGCTCTGCATGCTACACACGTTATATCTGTTGGGTGTCACTGGGTTCAGCTGGGCAACAGCAGAATGAGGGTGAGGGTCAAGGTCTTAACACACAAATTATAGGATGCGCCATCCACTCCAAATGACCCTTCTGATGCAATCTACCTCCAGCATAACACGGCAGACATGATGAACAGCCTTAGTTATTGCTTCCGGTGTCCCTGAGATTGTTACAGCTCTTTCTGTTGAACTTGGTAGCATCTCACTGGCAACTTGTATTGACGCCCCCGTGGACTGTAAAAGACAAGATTTGAGAAATAAAAAATTCAATTTGCACCATCATTGATAAATGCATGTCTCTAACTCTCAACTAGTGGTTTGGTTTTTAAGGTGTAAATCACTTGCACTACTTTCTCATGATTCTTCCAAACTATGCATGACTTCAAGTAATAAACCTCCCAAGGTTAAACTAATATCTGCCTCTGCCTACTAACTTCTTCAAACTTTTCACCTCTTGTTCAGGGAAGTTTTAAAAGCCCAATTATTCAAATCTGATAGCTTGAATTTACTGATATAAAATATCTTCCTTGGTCTCAGTAGAATAAATGTCTTCCTTGAGGATGTGGCTTAACTTTGCTCAATAAATTACTGATAACAAGATTCGCACTGTGTCTGGAATTGAGGGCTTTTATCAAAGCAACTACTAAAAAATGATTCAACTTCACCTTCACCTTGTCTGAAGACATACAGTATCTGTACCATATCCAATTTTTCACATCTCAAACTTAGTTCCCATATTTACATGTACTGTGTTTTTCAACACCATGTCATCCAGATGTCTGCTTTTGTCATTTATTTATACGTCCCATTTAAGCCATCTGTTCCATAATTTGCCAAAATATGCTTCTTATTCTTTCTCTTTTGATATTGAATCACAGCATTCCTGTCTAGTGTTGAAATTTACTTTCTGTCAACTCTTTACAGTAAAAGTTCAAAAAATAATCTGTGATGTGGTGGATCCCTACTTTGACTAAATGTTTTGTTTCATCCCTGAAGTGTTTGACTCTAACTCTGCAACGTTCATGTATAAATTTCGTTTCAAAAATAAATAACAAAACTGAAAATGAAACACTTTCAATCTGAGTTCTCTCAGTGGTACACCAAATGGTAACCATTTATCATTTGATCGCAATTTGAGTGTAATTTCCAGTCAAGTGTTGAGGTCTCTCTACTGAGCTTTATCTCAAGGGGTTGTTTGCCTAATGCCAGCTGCTGCCACCTCCCCCATTATGCCATTAACCAATGACAAGTCCCTGTACAAAACTCAATTAGTGTACTGAACAGTTCCACCAGCTGTTGGATCAATAGAATACTGTACTTCAGACCAAGAGAGAAAAAATCAACTACAGAAATATTCTGAGGTGGAATGTTGTCATCTTTCCTTGCACAGCTTTGGTTTCAATACCTGGAAAGTAAACAGAAAGCTATTCTCTCTTTTTGGATTCCCTGGGATTTCAGAAACTGTACCACTCTGAATGTTTCCCTTCTGTAAGAATTACATTCACTTTCAAATGTAAACCCCCTCTGGTGTTACACAATACAGTAATTGGAGGATACATGTAGCTACCAGTACCGGTATATGTACATGTACATTAAACTTGAGGTACATTATATTTTAGTTAGATGAGCATCAATTAAACTATCAAAACACATCCTGTTAAAATCAAGAAAATCAATTCATCAGAAAGTCATCAGTGAAATTTCAAAATACACCATTTCATACGGAATCATATGAAAAATGAGGGATAGATTGTGTATGAAAATTGGATACCTACTATATCATAGGTACATTTACCAGAACATGTAAATGTAGTTAAACCATTCATTCATTACAGGATGATTACGAAGACAATGAAGAAATCTTCCGTTTCAGAGGTGGGAGGAAAACTCAGATAAATGTTTTATGTGGAAAAGCCACAGACTCAGGTGGGGACTGAAAACCCAATCCACATGGTGACCAAGCCGGATTTGAACTCAGGCCCTCACAGGTGGAAGGCGAGGAAAGAAACACTATGCCAACTGATCCAAAAGACACTTGTCCCTCTGTTTCCTTCTATGATCATACCTCTCTAATATCTTTGATTTTGGAGCCGGCTTTCCCAATGAGTGATCCACATTGGCTAGCAGGTACAATTAACCGAAGTGTCACTGGTGGTTTAGGTGCTCCTCCTGGACTGTTGTTATTTGGATTGCTCGACAAATCCTGCCATGAAATAAAATCCAGGTTACGCTCTTGCTCTAATATTAGAAATATGCAAATTAATGAGGCCAATCAGCTGTCTTCTTAGTGAACTCTATTAAATCCTCTTTCCAAAGCAGCTTGGCCAACAAAGTAAGCCCCAGAAGATCTGATTAAGTAGTCTAAGTAGGTCCCTGGCTAGGTACATGTGCATGTAATTTGGGTCCTGAAATTTAAATGCACTATTTAAAGAGAAGGCTATACCTTCAACACATACACGTACATCTAAGTTGATTATTTGATCTTCATTGTCTACATATGTATATGGTTTGAATCACTGATGGCACTAATGGGAACCATCTTTCAGACTTACCAACCTCTCGGATCATTTTATTTATAAAATTCACAAGTCATACTTTTCATTAACCACTTGTCTGGATTGGATCTAGTCCGAGTAACTCGGACCAGATTGGGGCAACACTTCTTCACGCATAAAAACAATCACATGAGAAATCCATTATCAAGGCTAAAGAGTGAAATGGCCCTATTCCTATCTGATTTGACCACATTTTCAAAATTTGAAATCCACATTGCATGTCTAGGCTTTTTGAATTTTGTTGCCTGCCGGCTGGTCAGCCATAGAATGTCTTGTTCGTTTCTGCAGATTTTTAACTTGAGGATCGGTCTTGACAAAGATTGCATCCCAATCGGACCTTATTTCAAGCTGCAAGTTTACGGTGGCCATGAAATGTGTACTACATGAAATATTGGATATTTGGGCACAAGCAGCTTTAAAGAGTCCCACTAATACCTACATCCATAGTGATATTTTGTGTGCAGCCAATCGCAACATAATGATTGGATGGTTGCCGGATGCTGTTTACGCACGACCTCTGTACAACCATGTTGTACGCACGTATACAAATGCGTAGTGTAAAATTTACATGTACATTCACAGCTATTTTCTTGCATAATGTACACTTGCAACTGTTGAAATACATTACAATTTGTTTTCTCAATCGTGTCAAAATGGCCCAAACCCATATTTTACAGGGGGAAAAAATATGATTGTATTTCTAAGAAGTTTCCATAGGAAATGGGGCTAAATCGTACTAGTTAGCAGTACTAGTTTTATGTAAGTTCCCAAATTCAAATCTCAGAAGCTAGTCGATAAACATACTTCATAAATTCATGAACAAAGCAAAAACTCATCAAACTCAGCAACTTGTAACAGAAGGTCAGACTAATTTTGAAAGAACCAGGCCAACCACATCCACAAATTAAAAATTAGCCACATAATGACAAGCAAATAGCACCCCCAAGCTCTACGGTGTTTTGTTAGTATCTTAGGTATGCCTTACCAACTCAAACTTATTTGTGATGAGGGAGAATGCCATATTTATTGATTCAGGAGAGCCAGTGATGGTAACAATTCTCTCTTGACATGAACTGTCTGAGATGTTGATTCTCGCTTTACTCTGTAAGTGGATAAAATAAAATCAAAAATCAGCAAACATGTACCAAACTTCCACATAAAGTAAAAATGGAAATAAACATGTGTTCCTTGCATAGCCACTCAGTGAAGGAAAATTAATATTGCCAGTCAGTAATAAAAGGCAAATATACTAAGAAATAAAAATATATCAGGAAAATCTCAATATCTATGACCACAAATACTTTCTAAACAATCAACTCAACTAGTCTCATCAATAATCCCTTTAACCATTGTTCCGTCCACTGTAGCACATGAATGCACACACATTTGCTTACTCTAGCTATTTATACACTCCATTACACAGCACTTGGAAATCATTCCTTCGAGAGTTGTTTATGTAATAAATACCACCATAGTCTCTTCACTAATGTGCAAGGATCATGTACATCTTGATAAAAATAGTGTGTGCAATACCTTACCAGTACTTTCAATATATCTGACAATAGTTGATGTGGATTTTCATGAATTTAATCTTTTAATTTCTAAATTCATCACAAGCTTTAAACTATTGCCAAGCAAAGCTGAAATTCTGTCTCAGTCAAATTATCCTGACAGCAAAATCACAACTTTTGATTTCTTTCAAGCTTTACTTACCTCTGCTCTGAATTTTTTGACAGTCTCACCATTCTGAAATACAACAAAAACAACAAACTAACAAATGGGCTTTAAAAAACAAATGCATTGAATTGTATATAATGAAATTGTGCATGCAAGTTCTCGAATGTGTAATTCAATAAGAACACATGGCAAACATCTTGTTATATGTACATGTAACTTCAGACAACTACAATTATCTCATTTGTGTACATGTAATGTTTATAAACAGATCAACATATACTCTGTACATGTACAAAGCTTATTCCATTGACTACATGTCCACAGTAATACAGAATCTTCCTCGAAATTAATTCTATGGGCACTAGGAAACAGGTGAGTGTTGCTTTCAGATATTTTTGAGGATGTCTTTTTATATTCTTCTTGGGATATCTGAGTGGATAGGAGTCATATCCAAATTAAATACTGTCTCCTCTCAGAAGAACAAATTGTAATCTAAACACCTAATTCCACATCTCATCTGGCATCCTTGATTTCCTGAAGACAGAATGCCTCCATAACGAGGCACTTGATGGTGCCTGTTTTCTATATTGCTCTATGCCACACAAAATTGGAAAAAAATGACATGATTGGGTGTCTACGTAAATCTCTAGAGTAGCACTCTATCCTAGTACTGAATATCCAGCCACCACAGCTGTCAATTATAACATGGATCAAATATCTTTTGTACTTCAGCCAGTAAATACTGTATAATAGTGTCCTTTTGATGCTAAGCGACTGAGAGCAGGTAGATACAGGAGAGTTCTCACTGAGTATTTTATAGGCAACCTTTGAAACAAGTTGATCAACAGTGTCATCAGTTGCCTTGGTCCAATTATGTAAAATACCATTCAAAGGAATTGATGATTGATGAGGCCAGTCGATGTAAATGTTTAGCTGTACATGAAGGTACACAGTTCAGTAGACAAGAGAAACCCTTCCATATTTGTACATGTATGTACAATGTATTATACAGGTACCTAACACCACTTCCTATTGTGTACAATCAAGGTGCATTTCAAGAGTGTACCTGTACATGTATCTCATCAACGGTGATTATTCAGGACTTTCCCAGTCATTTCTTGCCCTTCACTGTATATCTTCACTCACTAGAATGCATCACTTTTGAAAAGTGACTTCATGTGCAACTCACATGTACACGTAATAAGCACTGATGTACATGTACATACATGTACATCAAAGCAGGGTGATACCAACACAGTTACATATAGTCTCCAGCATATCGCTAGTTTGTTTCCTCGAAGCAACGATGCACATGTACTCATACATGTACCTGTATAACTGCATACATGTACATACATGTACATACATGTACAATGTACCAGTCCATGTTCATGAATACATGTGCAGTACTTGAAGCACATCCCTTCACATGTCCATAATCTCCCCCTCAAATTATCAGCCAGGGCTGCAGCTGCAGGCTCAGCATTATACAGTTTTCTGTTCTACAGACAATCAGAAACATTGTCTTTATAGGAAAAAGACTACACACATTCTGGCAAGGCATGCAACATCTTGAGTCAATCCATCTCCAGCCTGCCAATGTGCATTAATGTTTGATGCTGACTGCCATGTGTCCATTACAGTAATCCTTCTTTTAAATAAGTAATCTTTTTAATTAGTGCACAACACTGCTTCTTCCATCTAGCAGAGAATGCCAGATCATAATAAGCTGAAGTTCATGGTCACATCATTTGATAAAGAAATGTGAGGAACCCCAACTGCAAAGTACAAACACGTACCGCTATCCATGCCTGTACATGTACACACAAACGTATATGTATGTGGAATACAAAATTTCTGAAATTGATGGTTAAACCTAACAAATTACCAGTACATGTAGGTCAGAACACTTAACCCTAACCTTCCTCAATCCTCCAAAATCTTTCAAGTGGTTTTGGAGGATTGAGCAAGGGTTAATCTACAATTCTTCATATACCTGTATTGTATGAGTAAGCTCATAAGGGGTCTCATGACCAAAAAACATAACCTGATAAAACACAGTACACATCCATTTACATGTAATAGTCAACTACAATGTGTAATGTACATGTATAGCACCAAAGTACCAGTCAGTGAATTGCATTCCAATTTGACAACTAAGTCTGTGAAAGTACCTTACCTTGGGGTACAAGCACCCTAGTTCCCTGCCCTAAAGGGTGCCCAGTGGATAGAAGCATGCCTGGCGAAGTACCTTACCTTTGGGTACAAGCACCCTAGTTCCCTGCCCTAAAGGGTGCCCAGTGGATAGAAGCATGCCTGGCGAAGTACCTTACCTTGGGGTACAAGCACCCTAGTTCCCTGCCCTAATGGGTGCCCAGTTGATAGAAGCATGCCTGGGAAAGTATCTTACCTTGAGGTACAAGCACTCTAGTTCCCTGCCCTAATGGGTGCCCAGTTGATAGAACAATGCCTGTGAAAGTACCTTACCTTGGGGTACAAGCACTCTAGTTCCCTGCCCTAGTGGGTGCCCAGTGGATGGAAGCATGCCTGGGAAAGTACCTTACCTTGGGGTACAAGCACTCTAGTTCCCTGCCCTAGTGGGTGCCCAGTGGATGAAGCATGCCTGGGAAAGTACCTTACCTTGGGGTACAAGCACTCTAGTTCCCTGCCCTAGTGGGTGCCCAGTGGATGAAGCATGCCTGGGAAATTACCTTACCTACGTGTAGGGGTACAAGCACCTTAGTCCCCTGCACACACAGTACCTAAGTAGAAGTATTTGCCTAAGCAAAAAGGCAGCATCCCATACCTGCCAGCAAAGATACTTTATTTTGTGTGGGAAAGCACCTTGCTCAGTAAAGGAACCATACACACACAAGCACTCTGGTCCTTTGATAAGATTTTAACCCTTCAAGAAAGTCACAGTAAGTCTGCGACAGCCATGAGACTTAGTAAACAATAGGCATCTGTCATTTCATGGTACATGTGCAGATACACAAAAAGGTAAAACATCTTCCTGAGGTAAATCAGTCACTTTTGTTTTCAATTTAAAATGTATTTTTGACACCAGTTTCATCATCTCACTACATCCACTTGATATTTTTTCTCTAAAGGGCAACACTTTATGTTATGGTCAGGGACAATGATCTGAATGGCAATGAGACATGAGTCCCACGGCGAGATGGATCTAACACAAACACTCACAACACGATTAAAAAAAAAATACACCTACCTCTACTCACGAAACTGATTGAAATCTGAAACCCCATCCCTGTATCACCTATGGTGAGCCGCAACGACCAATCAACCCCATTGCAGACCCCCCAAAACAGGTGCATCTCTGATAACACTGCTACTAGAGTACCCCCACCCCTCTGGATGAAAATGGATCATCTCCTACTGAGAAGACCGAGAGCAATCTCAAGATGCACTCCTTCGGGGGGGGGGGAAGCTGGATGGTTATAAATTGACCAGCTTGCGGACTGAAGGGGAGTTTGTTTTCAACGCAAATATCCTCCTCTGTGGCCACAGAATTAAGTCTGATGCAATTGGGCATTGCAAATTGGAGCTTACCTAGAACAGTTTCTAGACTGGGCAGAGATTTGTTACATTCCGAGCTGAGAGCTGTATAAATGCACTTGAATATTGCATCTAAATCAAACTGTTCAAAAATTGCAGAAGTAGGCCTTCAACTACAAGTCCCAATCACCAGTAGCCGTACTGTATAAATTTGCTCCACCAGACACTATCACTTCAAACTATCATTAATTTCAAGTGATTTCTGCTTCATACTGCCATTGAATGCATTTATCACCATATTATGACTATTCCCTATGACAAACAAGCAATGTTCACATGTACATACATGTACATGTATTACCCTTGAGATTTCTCTAACCTCAATTAAAAAAAATAAGACAATTAGTATAACTCACATGTATTTATTAAATATAGATTTTGGAATTTTGTTTAATGGATAGAAATCAATACAATGCTTAACCCTATAACCCCCTGGGTTTATGTAAAATCCTATTGAAATTGGAGGATTTGGGACTATTACAGTTAATGAACGGCGTCTAATATTATATTAAAAAATGCATATTTACGACTTTCAGATATTTTAAAAGCATACACTGTGCACATAAAAAATACTTTGATTTTTGGAAGACAATGGGAACACACTATAGTTTAACAGCTTTATACATGTGTACATTTGTTAACACATTAATAATTTTTCCTGAATCTAAATTGCCATTTTCTCCATCCAATGTCTGCTTGTTCTACTGCTTGTTCCACATGACCAATAATTCAGTTTTAGAAACTTGTTAAGGCCAACACATCAAAAGTTTCTACATGAAATGAAAATGTAGACAGGAGTGTAAATGAGATTTCTGTGTTAGTATTTAATATTGGTACACGTATACTTGTCACCCCCATGGAAAGATCATCATTTTGAAACTTAAAGTACACTGTACCCATGAAAAATACTTTCCATCTTCAGAACGGAAAAAGACAAGGCCCAAGCATGATGGAAATGGAGATAGGGATGACATCACACTTCAAGAGATAACGCAACATACTCACCTTCCCAATGATACTGCCAACTTCCTGTAGTATTTGAAAAGGAAAAGAAAAAAGAGGAAGAAAAAGGATGAGATTAATTTCCTGCAAGTTCGGAGTGAGATGTTTGCATGAACCACCAGCAGACAGGAGACAGTACCTAGGGGCAACAATAAACACTGTGCATATACATGTACCTTAGGATGGGGTGTAATTTTGTACCAGAACATCTGTTGGGACAATTTCTTCCAGATGTCAGTCTGTTACGAAGAATGTGTTATTATACTGGGTGACTATCCCGCGTTGACAACTGAGGAAGATTCAAGCAGGTTTTTTGCATACGTGTACCTTAGGGGTGAGGATAAATCTTGAATACAAATTCTACATATTCGGGTTATGTTGTGCACGTTATTAGTTACTTGTATCTCACATACATGGGTAGAACACATAATAATGTAGGGTGTCTGTGTTCCACATACATTGTATCATAAGGCCACAGGCTGAGGTGTATGTGGGATGCACACTCCTAGCATTAGTCTGTGTTCCACAAATGAAAGTTGGCTAACAAATTTATTGTTCATCAATTTGTAAATCACAAATTGATGAACAAAGTTCACACCAAGTAAAGATGGAATGCATGTCGAACACGCCATCCTAAACACAGGAGACACGAAAATCGAGCTGGGAAACACAAGGAATGCGTATCGAAATGCATTTGACAATCCACATTGCATGCACACATGACAATCTCAAATTCGCAGTGGATTAAACAGCTCTGATTATTTTGTGCATGCACTTTAGTGGACACACAATTCATCAACAATATTGCGCAATAAAGATTACACATGTATGCGGGTACACAGGTATATACATGTATGTACAGCATGGTTTACTGTCATTAATCGACCAATGAGGATCAATGATTCAGGTTTGCTTGAAGTTTAAAAACAGTATGTGAAGTCAGAAAACAATGTAACAAAATGCAGAGGCCTACTGGTGCATGTATGTGCACATGTCTGTGTGTCTACACGTGTTATCATTTGTGTTACTGCACCCTACCATACATGTACATGTATATCCTTACAATGTCTTCAGCATTACGCAAATGCCAGATTAATAAATGTACAACGGGCAGTGTAACATTATCATGTACATGTATCCACATGTGTCATGTGCATGGATACTTCCATTTGTCCAAACCATCACATCTAAATTCCAGACAGTCCACAATGCAATGTTGCATAAAGCTACAAATTGTGAAAGCTTGCTCCTTGCAAGGTACATGTGCTCCTTCAGAAGTCAAGAGGTTGTCTGTCATCTTTGCAAGACATCCTGAGATGATTTCTGGCAGCAGTTGTGAGCTGGAAATGGGGATATCCACAAAACACTGAAGAAAATGTTTGGTTTGTATCTATTTTTTCAGATAAGAGAGTTGAAACTGCTGCTAACTGCTTTGTTCTGGGAAGACCTCGGTACCAGAAAGCATTCCATAGTATACATGTACAGTGAACATGTAAATATGAGTTTGATGTGCCGGGAAAAAAAGCATTTTTTCTTTCAAATGATTGTAACAGTGGTTAACAAGTGTAAATATCCGGTATATGACATAAAAAGAACACTGAGCATGTACTGCATACATGTAAAATGTCTGACTACTGTAACTCCCTCGGTGGATATGCTTTCCTTCCTAGTATTAATAAGCAGTTTAGAAACCCGGGAAGTTTTTTAGTTTATCTATAACAATAATAGAAACCTACATGCAGCCATGATGCATGATTTTTCTCACCAAATTCAAGTACATATGTACATGTACATGTATGTCCAATAAATAGGTCAACACATTCTCCAAATAGGACAGCTTATCCTCAATATGCAATAAAAATGACTGGCTCCCTGTCTCTCTAAAGATGTCCAAACAAAGACCTTACCCCTCAAGCACACCTTTACTTAAAAACAACCTTGCTCAGAATATGACATCTTGGAGTACCTATTTCCCAAGTGTATTTCACTGAGAGCTATCACAGCTGTTGGTCAACGTGATGAAAAGGGCAACCACACTGGAATGAATGTGTCTGGGTCTGCAGCCGAAAGTTCTTACAAAATCTGCTGTACGGAGTTGTGAACAATAAACAAAAAGATGCCGTTTCACCACTGGCACAAAGACAAATACTATGTGCAATAGCAATTTCATACAGTACAGAATGTTTCTTGCAAATATTTCAAACATATTTACTGCCAAAATGTCTTTTTTGGTGGGGTATCCTGGTGAATCAGGTGATGTTCTCCTTGTTCTCATCAAAAGTTACACATGTATGTCCAAGTTTTGTTTCAGTAAGTGTAAGCTGTAGAAAAAAAAACTTTCCTGGTTTGGGGAATTATTATCACAAGTAATAATAAGCATAAATGGTGTCAAATTACAGAGCCAGTGCACTGTAACATTCACACACCGAATTCCTCACAACTGCACACATTACTGGTTCCTGTTCATGTACATGTACATGTATATACAGAACCAAAGATCCTTGCTAAAAATGAACAGTAGAAATGTTTGCTCCGACCTGTAGATACAGTATACATGTATATGTACATGTACACACATACTGATACATGTACACTGTACATGTTAAAATTGCAGCTGTCACTGAAAGTAACTGCCAACCCACCAGACTTAGATCTGATCAAGTTGACCTCAATGACCTGCATACCCTCTCTAGGCAGAGGCACAATTTGACTGGTAAAGTGTAAGGATAACCCACTGTGCGTGTCTGTGCAAACACCCTTCATATCTTGGTGGTGTGATCTTATGATAATACCCAGCACACAGGGAGGTACCTGATATGATTAGCGTAAGGCCATCTTGACCTAGATACCAGCGAGGTACAAGCTAGAACTCAAGAAAACAGGAATCTGTACTTTTTCTTTTACACTGGGCATCAAGAAAACAAATCTTACAGTCCTGAATTTAAAAGGTCTGAAATTTTTCTTCTCCTCAACGATTAAAAGGTTTACCAAAAACTGAATGACTATTTTACATTTTACGTAATTGGTGAAAAAAATACACTTTGAAAAATGTACATGTAAGCCCCTGCAGTGTTGGATCATTGTGGATTCAAAGAGTGCTTGGGACACCTCTGAGCGAAGAAAGGTTCAGAACGGTTCTTTCCCCTCCCCTTCTAAAGAGTTCAGAGTTCAGCATGCACAGGGACATCAGAATGAAAGTGGTAACAATGTTCTGTGTCGATTTAAGTACATGTATTATACATTGTGCCTGTGTATGCAGCATTTCATGTAGGCCTACAGTCATACATCTGTTATTAATCTCAAATCTAGTTCAGCACCATCTGTGCAAATGGACATTTACATCTGTCTACATTTATGCAGTGTAAGTGTGCGGGTATACATACGTGTATACCATAAAATGTACATGTACAACTGTACTTACATGTATGTGCATGGCATGCCTTTAGTGAATGTCAAAAGCATGTGAGACATACATGTATTCAGTGTCACACACACTACACAAAGCCAACAACTCAAATAGGAGTAAGGCTGTGCTGAATATCCTAGTATCTGCATATTTGATTGATTATCAAATATTCGAATATTATTTTTCAAATTTATGAAAAAGGGGAAAAAAATTTTGTTTGAAATGCAAAAACTGCCCTGTGGAGGGTTGTTCCAGGCAGATTCAAATAAAAAGCGACAGAAATCTTACAATGTACATGCACGTGCATTCTTTGCATTGAGGGGTGGGTTGGACAATAATTTCAACAAGTTTTCTGTCTAGGCAGAAGTCTGTATCTCCTTCATCGGTAAGACAACTTTGAAACTAGACAGACTACAAAGAGGGAGCATGATCTACATTTACAGCATGCCAGAGGTCATCAGGTCAAATTCTACTAGAATGAATTTCTTTGCCTTTGGATAGTCAAATTTCCATGGAGATTTACTTCAAGAAAGGGTCCAGACTATGCAACGTTCATGACACTTAAGCAGTGAGACATTCAAATTTCTTTATTGTATGTAATACTGTGTGCAACATAGATAACCTGTTTTGATAAATGCAATGACCAGTTCTTAATATGGGAAATCATTTCTTTTATTCATACTTTGTTGAATCATGGTATGGAATGGCAAGAAAGACCTGCATGTCAAGACAACTGGTAAGGAAAGCAAATACCTTATTTTACTTTCTGGGGAAAAATAACTTTCTCTTGCAAAATATGTTGCCAACAACATTTATAATTTACCTTTCCTTGCATGATGAGCCTGATCGTGAGGGTGACACTAGGTGTGTCACTATTCCCCACCATGCCAGATGTGTCTTCAGGGGTGGTCATGGTGTACAGGGGAGGTGGAGGGTGATGAGGTATAGCAGGGGTGGGTAGGATGGTCAGGGGGTATGAGGGAAATGGGACAAAGGTCGTCAGGTTGGCAGCGTCTTGGTACCCGGTAGTAGCAATCTTGCCTCCTTTCCTGGACTAACCTGCAAAGAGTGAAGGAGAAAGAGAACTCATGTCACCAATTCCACGTCAGTCCCAATCACTTGATCTTTCAAAGTCCAGTTAGTCAGGCTACAGATTACATGTACATGTAGTTACAGTCCATGCATTGACACAATAAATTCAATCAATCTTCTTGAGAATTTTAAATTCTGAATTCATCAAATGACATTAGCCAATTTTTTTTTGGGGGGGGGACTGGCCGTGTCAAACCTGCAATTTGACACATCATCGCATTAATATACCGGTACATGTACTTTGCAACTGAGATCCAAGTTAGATTTGAGAGTTTTGAATCTTTGAACACTGCTCTGACTTACTGCACACCATGCAAGTACATGTAATTTTACAATGTCAAGTCCAGACTGGGAAAATCTCTGTCAAGCACGAATTATGCACAAAAAATATAAAAGGAAGTAAAAGAATTTCAACTTCAATCCTGCATCTACATCTGAAGTAAGCAAGCCATTCTGTCAAAGATCATTTATTGTTGAGGAATTTTGTTTGGCAAGGATTAGCTATGCTTGCAGTATTTTGATAATAAAACAATGGTCTTTTTCCAACAGAATAAAACTAACTCAACTGTAATTTCACTGCTTTCACCCTTTTTGTCCCAACATCAAGCAACACATTCCACTTTGATTGAGAATTTTATGCAACAAAATTTGAGAGACAGGTAAGAAGCTGGTCATTTTCTTTTGATAGACCAGATTGTATCATTCTGACTCCATGCAGTTTCCATCATTAACATGCTGCATTGATTCACCAGAAAAACCCCAAACAAAAGTCCCCTACCAAAATAGACCCCTCGACCAGCATACAGGTACATGTACAAGTACACATATCTACTCCACAACTCTGACCATTGATCCTTAAAAGTACTTCACTTCTTCCTTCTACAAAAGGTTGAGTGAGTCTAACCTCCCCTTGATAGAATTAAGTGAAATGAAACTCTTGATTTGACTGGTGCAAAGTGAGCCCATGGGACTCTGCATTATGCATTTTAGATGGCCTTAATGGCAATTTACAACAATCTAGGACTTCTACAGCTTTGTATTTGTATCGATCAATCAATAAATAAAGCACTAAAAGCCATTCAAGCTATAAATATGATCAAAAGAAGGCAGAAGACAAACTACAATAATAAATGAATCTCATAAGGGTTTCTTTCTGTTCTTGCTTAGATAGGATAAGAAAGGTCAACCGGCTTATTGCTTGGAGCAATGTGCATACGACGCAAGGCACTACAAGACAGGATTTCCGTTCCGAAAATCAATTAGTTGGTAGGACGAATATATAGAATATATCTTGTGTGTTCCTTGCTTAAGTGCTCTGTCATACTCTAGGAAGATTGCTTCTGTAATCAAGTTAGGCTATCTGAATATGTTTGCTGACAAGATTGTGGGGAAAGTGATCTGTGTAATCAAATGGGTGTGTGCAGACAAGCTTCATACTCCAGGCTGTGTGTTGGAATTGACCGCCAAACAATAGTATAACCTGGCCTCAAATTTCTAATTCTAGACACGTTGACTGGGGAATACTCCTTCGAGCATTCTGGTCGGGACAATCTGTCTCGCAATGCCCTTGCTCAGCTGTACAGGCAAATTTATTAAAAACAATAAACCTTGTATTAATTTGGTTACCACAGATGAATTCATTTGGCTCACTGAACCATTGAATTGTGCAGGGGCCCCCTCTCTAAGGACAGTCCCAATCCTAAATTGATAGCACAGATGGGTAGAGCCTTGCAGTCAACATGAAGAGCTTAACAATCTAAAGACTCCAATCATGCGTATACTGTACGTCTTGTGTGTGCGTCACACTGTTCCCACCGTGATTTCAATTTGCATGCAGATTTGCTGGTGGGATAAATCTTAAAAGGTTAAATCAGCATAGGCCGCCCAAAGCACATATTTCCAAGTGAATATTGCTGAATAACAAATCAATACTGCGTGATCATGGGTAGGAATAATCATATATATCAATTAATTTAACCTTGGACAGCCTTGGGAAAGACAGGCAAACTGGGAGGGTTTTAAATAAAGTGTAGCCAAATTGTCATTAAAGAGACAATGATTTCAACATGTATGCCTACCTTACAAGTACATGCACAAAGTATGCACGGTACTTACATGTTCACGCAATGCTAATGGCTTGAACCATATTATCAGATAGAAAACCGGCTTCGAGCTTCCTTCAAATAGCAATTTTGCATAAATGCACGAACTTAAACCTTGTATTCATGACATGATTAATGTAATGCCAATATACATGAACTGGTATGAGTTTTGGGTAATTCCAGATATAAGGGGTCCAAAAGTGTGACATTTGCCTGTCCCTGTTACATCTGACCTTTGTTATTTGTCATTGAAATATCATCAGAATTGAATTCAAACTATTACAATTTGTTTGGCAGGTAATTTGCATTAATTAATCACTCTTGGAAATTGAAAAATGTGTTCTGAACTTACCAAATCTTATGTCAGATATGACGAGGACAAAAAAAACGGACCCCTTATTTCTGGAATTACCCTTTTACAAGTACATGTACATGTGCCAATAGGTTTGCTCCGCAGTGAGTGAAGAAAACAATGAGTTGATGTACATCTACATGTATATCACCATCACAACTATTCAGCATCATCCAATTTTCCCCTAGCTTTTCTTTAGAATGTCAGACAGAAACAGGTCAATTTTGAGCCTTCAATTTGGTTCATAAACCAGAAAGAACACCTGTCCTCCCTGATATCTCATACATGTACTGAAAGAAGCACCACCAGTACATGTACATTAACAGGTACATGCAGGACCAGAGCTTGAACCCTGTCCCATCGTTACATTGTACATCCAACACAAGGTTTTCTTTGATTTTCTGACTAATGCCTCAGATCCCCAGAAGTGCATGTATCTCTTCACATGGAGCTTTGTGGCCTGCTTTTAAGTATAAAGAACTGTTCTTGGGTTGTGGTGCATGTCTGTACTTTGCTAAGGGTGACAAGTTGGACATCCAGTTACCCCCAGGAAGTACTAGATCAAACATCATTTCGGATAGGGGAATTGGGTTTCATCAATGTCAGCTTGACTTTTTCTAGGTATATGTACAGGTTCAAACAGGTTTTGTTTGGAAAGAATTTATAATATAATTTGGACAATCACAATTTCATCAATGCTACAAGTACCGGTATGCACAACTACACAAGTGCATGTGCGAAGTGTCAATTTACCAAAATTGAAGGGAAATTAACATAGGGCTGAGAAACTGGTGTATACAGGCCGTGTACTTGACAGCATTCTAAGCCCCCTCCCCTGAACTTAGCACTACAGACACTGACAGGCTCTCTACATACACACGATCCATCTAATCACACAATTTCTGAGCTTCCTTAATCCTCCTGCGATGTGCTGCCAACGGAATTCACCAGCAAACGGAGAGATTCAGCTGGAAAGGCCAATAATGCCCAGCCTGGACAAAATACGCAGGCACTTTGACTGGTTGCCATGGCAATACGTATCTGCCTCGGAGGCAGATTTCAGAAATGATGGCACTGGGTTTTCATTTGGTGGTGGAATACTCTTGTCAAAACGTCACCTCTAAGCATCTATTCAGGCTGCACTGTCGCATAGTTTTGTACATGTTAAGTACACTGTACCAGAACACAGATTAACAAAGATAAAGCCTGTGACTTATCCTTCAGGCACGTTACTCGTACACGTATGTACATGTATCAGTACATACATTTGTGTCAAAGTGTAGGGACACTCATCAATGCATCCGTGTAGCATGTGTGAAATTGATGGGTTTTAATCAACACCACTGAATTAAAATTAACAATTCTGCTCACTACTCTCAGAAATGGAAACCTGCCCTCGTATTGTACCAGAAAACAATCCCAGATCTTGATTGGATGTCCTTCACAGTACATGTATAATGTACATGCCCTATATACTAATATACACACATGAAAAAGTAATTATTTTGTCAAATTCTACAGAAAGAATTCTATGAACTTACGTGAACTGAAAAATGCATTTTTAATGGTAATTTTTGTCACATGCCAGTTTCCTTTTTCTGAATAAGGGAAACATGGAACTGACAACAGGCAATGTACATTTTCTTATGTACATGTTACTCATTGCAAAACTAAAAATATGTGACAGAATGCCATATCTTTATCATCTCAAAGAATTACCTGTGAAGCAGTCTAAGCTTCCAAGTACATGGGCAAAGTATCAAAAGTTAACATACGTGTATTTAAAGGCTCACCCTAATATTGGATTTACTTTGTGCTTGTACATGTACATGTATTTCTAATACCATTTATGAAAATGGGCGTCACAAAATTCATTGTCCCTCATTAAAGTGAAATTCAAAACTCAGGCAGCTCATCAGCCATTCTATGGTTCCTGAAAGGCTGCCACGCACTGTCACTTCTCCTAAGATGAGTTTTGACAAGCTTCTATTATCTTCTGGATATCAAAAGGGCAGTGGATAAGGTGTGGGTGATTTCTTACCAGTACATTAGTGCATGGCACAAACACTTTGTGAAATTAAGTGGTGGGTACCAGTACTTGTACAAAAATTTCTTTAGCAGGCCTGTACATGCATTGTATACATGTAATTAGAAGTTCATGTACATATACATGTACATGTATGTGTACATCTGAACACTGTACATGTACATGTGCCTGTATATGAGTAAATGCACTTCAACATTTGCCGGTACACAGCAAAATTTCAACTGGTAGGCAAGCAGAAAACCTGCTTGTGCACGTACATGTGCTCATAATACATGTAGCTTATGAACCTATTTGAGCTGACTGTATCAAAGAATCGTGAATCTCATTGTGAAAATGAAACTGTAACGACATGTAAAGCAACTGAAAGAGAAGTCCTACATGTATTTGGCACTTCATCAACAGCAGCAAACATAAACTAGAATACTTCCCTGGCTACATGTACATGTACCTCACCATGCAAAATAAATTTTACTGCAAGGACAATTTGGAACAGTTTGTGAGGACTCTGAGTGACATCAGTGACATCAAGTATACATGTAAATAAGTACTAACTGTATGTAAAGTACATGTACATGTAAGTGTATAAATTAATACATATACGTGTGCATATATCATGCTGGTACATGTATATGTACACGTACGGTATACTAGTACATGTACTCCATGTACTCCATATTTTTTATCACACATAACTTGATAATACATGTACAAATTTACAATGGACATGAACACTACCAGTAAAACAGCCCAGCTTCTTAACATGTACCTGAAGTTAAAGTATTATGTGAAGCTAATTCCACCCTACATGTACATGTATGGAACACCTGCTCCCTGCACACTGTAAAAAAGAAATCCTTAGATCTGCAGTCTCATGTACCCTTGCTATATGATTTTGTACTACAATACAGCTGACCAACACAAACAGTCCCCCACCTGCAGTACCTTATGTTTGACAATTGATAACTTTATACTCCTATATCTATTCAGAGTAAGATTAATGGTGTGTTGTGTCTACAGTAACAGCAATGACAGTGTACCCTTATTACAGCCGTCAAAATAGTCTGTACACCTGTCAATGGGTCCAAAGTAGAAAAGCAATGCACTCTGGAATTTCTCCAAGGATCTCAGTTACAGCTCGCTGAACATGTGGAATTGTCCATGTATTAAGCAGATTTCAAGCACATTTTTTACATTGACGGAAAAAGAGACTAACTAGACATAGTTTAAATGGGATGGTTGCCATTAATTTAATATAGTGCAAATATTCATACATATCTACGAGATACCTGTAGTTAACCCATTCTTAGAGGCTAAGGGCCTGCATGTGGCCGATCTTAAATGGTTGATACCGGTAAATACAGGTATACATGTACGTAATTTTTTAAATTCACAATTGTCAGGTTAAACTGGACTGCATATCCAGGTAACGGTAGTTGTCAATTAAGAAATATATTGTTCAAGTGTAACCAAATTTCAAATTCCATTTTGTTTTTCTTGCTGAGCAATCTTCTGGATTATCCATGACAATCAGGACCAATGCTGATTTGTGTCATTTGTGTAGAGGCAGAAACAAGGCATTTGATATTTGCCAGTAATATGAATAGAAAAATGGCACACATACATATGTATGGCTAAAGTTTATATACTGTACAAATAATTCAGGAATGTATGCTGAATACAGGCGATTCACAATAGCACACCCCCAAAAGTTTGCAACACGTTGGCGAATCACAATGCACAAAATCTGTCAACCCAATGCACGTTTAGAAAGGATCGACAAATTTCACACACTGTGATTGGCCAATTCGTTGCAAACTCTTGGGGCACGCTATTGTGAATTGCCCATATTCAACAAAAAAGGTACACGTACATGTACATGTTTTTTTAAAAAAATTTATGAACAGGAAGGACTAAGTGCTTTGCCAGTCTTAATAATCATTTAAGTCCAACTCAGGAGAATGGATGCTGAAAATATCCTGAACAAAATCAAAAGCATATATCCTTCATTTATAAACCATGCACATGTGTACATGCACATGTACATATAGATGTGCCAACAGTATCTGCCCTGTAATAAGTACACATGTACATGTACATGTATGTACATGTACATGTACGTGTACCTTGGGTCCGTGTGTAGAAGTACCGGTACATGTACAATGTATGTATGAACCAGCAGACTAACCACATCCACCTTTCCACATTAGTTTTTAAATTGGATCATCCTCAAGTTTATAGATTCATGTAGCTGGCCTGTACCTGAGGCCAATGCAAATCTCCCCACGTATTTGTACATACATGTACATTGGTTACCAAAAATATAAAATGATCTCAAAGTGGCCTAGATAAATACCACATGCTGCTTGAGCATGTACTTTTAAAATTCAATTTTTAGGCTAAACAAATCCCAAAGCGGGAATGAACTTGTCCAGTACCTCTGAACTCGAGCGTTGTTATTAAGAGGATCTAATTCAATTAGGGCACTTTCCCTGCATACCCAGCTAATCTTATCAAAACTGGTTGGGGGCAGCTTCATCAGATCCTCACCGAGGATCAAATATGAAATTTCTTGTATTTATAAAACAGGTTTGAGTATTGAAAATACATGTCTAAAGGTACTAGAAGCTTTACTTTCAAGGCTTTGACTTTTTTTTTTCATTTTAATTTAAGGCAGTTTTTACTTTGTAGACCATAAATTGGTCAAACGAAGATAGGTATCACAAACTTGTAAAAGTTGAAAATTAGCAGTAACTTATTTAACCATTTACTATTTTTTAGTTTGGTAACTGCTTCATTTTTATTGTTTACAATTGAAAAGATGCACAAAGTGAAAAGCAAGACATAACAGTTGGAATGTTTGTCTTCTATCTTTCCTAACCATACTGTTTAAAGAACAAATAGTTTTTGCTTCTTTATTTTCTTTTACATTTTATTTTCATTATTCTCAAAGTACTATATCAATAAAACTTGTTTGGAAACTAAAATGCAGAAATCAACCATCAAAAAGCAAGCTTCAGACGTAATCCCTGCAAATCCTTTGAGCTGAAAAATAGACATAAAATGAAGTGTTCATAATATACATGTATATGTACCTGTGCAGAGTTTTTCCTCAGTCTAGCCAACTCAGTTCCTTCGGAGGTTATACATCAAAGCATTTGCTTCATTTCAATTCAAGAGTTAACCTGCAGATAATAAGAATAAATACACTGAAGATAAAAACATGATAAATGTATGCACTTCAAAACTGTAAGGACTAACTAAGTAAATAGTGTGGTGTACATAGTACATCATACTGATAACACATACAGGCAAAGAAACATGTTTGAGTTTCAATGCAATTTTCTCTTGCTTTGCTCATATGGTAGGCGTACATAATGCATGGCATGCCTGTCAGGTTTTTGTGGGAAGTCAGAAAATGTGGCCGGTGAAGCTTAAGTAAACCTTTTAAAGTTCTGAAAATGGTCCAATATTGAAAAAATCTCAAAGCCTACACTGTACAAATAAACACAGTACACATGGAGAGTAAACAGGTACATGTATACGTGTAGCCAGGCAGTTTGACCTTTAACCTCACACCTCCCAAACAGAAGCAAGATTTAATGACAATGAACTGAAGCTAAAATTAAGGTTTCAAAATAACATCATAGGCTTGTTATTACTACGTGTATGACATACATGTATGTGAGTTTTTGAAGACCAATACTGTACATCCACATTTTAGTTTCAATCAACCTACCCTAGCAATCGCTCACCAGGAGAATGCTAGCATTAATAATTCAACTCTCATAGTGGAGAGAGGGATTAGTTCAGCGGAATTAGTGACAGGTGTTGATATTGATTACTGCATTCAGTTAAGTACAAACTAACCAACAAAGGACTCTTCATTTCCTCATCTTTATAGATACGTAGAAAGATTTTTAAATGTACAAGTAAAGCTTTATTGTAAGCATGCAATGTATGTGTACAATGCATACTGTATTTTCATCTTCAACAACTCTACAGAAAGGCATAACTGTATTCAGTATCAAAATAAATTACTGTCAAGTCTGATAAGTTTCAGTCTATGGCTCTGAAGTAACAAAAATCCCCCTCTATCAATAATGTTTTCAAGTTGCAGCTAATTGTCTAAACTGGGTTGCTACATGTACATTTACTTGTTCTGACACGTTGATAACATGTTGAACATGTAAAGTGTACATGTACGTGTTCATGTATGTGTATGTAATCACTCCTTATTTTTCCATTCATCTCTGATGTTTAATTCTATTTTTTTCCTTTTTTTGTAGCTTACTGGACTTCTGCAGGTCATCACCAAGGCAACAGACCCAGACCACATATCAGGCTCAGGAGACAGATTCAGCAAATCATAATATCAACCAACCCGCTCACTACTCATAAGGTACAGTATTGCATTTAATAATCAGAAGAGATTACTACAAAGGCCACACATGTAGATCACTCTTCTATTCCACCCTCTCTCCTTCCCAGTGGTTAGACTTAGACATTAAACTTACTGGTAATTACTAGTGTAATGGATGCAAGGCATACATGTACAAATCCTCGGAAGCCAAAACCTTAAACAGCAACTGCACACCAGTAAATGTTAACACCTAGGGAAAATATTTACATGTAAATGAGAAATAAAATGAAATATATGTACATGTAACACAATATCCATGAACACTTAGTCTGAAAAAATTGAAAACTGAATAATACAGAGCACAACCACACTAATGGACAGCTGAATAATATTCTGAATAGGGCTTTCTGAGAGCTTCACATGAATAAGATACATGTATTCTCCCTGGTTGTTTACCTGAAAAACTTATAGGACCTACATATACATACGTGTACATCTCTCTGAAAAGGCAAAAATTTGAATGTAAAGACACAGATTATTTTATGTTTTACACTGTCACAAGTCCTCTGAGATGGATCTTTTAAGTAGTACACTGTATGTGAAAGTGTGAAAGTAACCTACCGGTATCACTATGACAGAGAATATTGCTCAATCACCATCTCTCTATTTTAGAATTTGTCCCACAAGTGTACATGTGTTTTTTTTTTCATTTACAAAAGAAACAGTACATGTACATTACACGTACATTAAAACCCTAACTGCCAAACACAATGTTTGGCTTAAGAAAAGTCTCAGAACTACAAAATACTAAGTAGTAGCCTGAGCCTGAAGGACCTAGCGCTACAAATTACTACTTCTGGCTAGGTTACTTCCATTGTTACTTGTACAGAGAACAACAAAGTCATGCATTCATAGTGCCACTGTAAGGAACATTGTCTTGTCTATTGTGTATCCTACGGCTTCAAAGAACAGTAAGGTCATGTCCTCTTACAAGCGACAGGGCTGAATCGTACATTTTACTACAACTAGTAATTTGAAGTAGTATGTACCTGTAGGCTTCGGGATAGCTACATGTTGCTGTATATATAGCAGCTTGTTGGAAAAAGTGACAATGAATGCCAAACTGATCTACATGTACACGTAGTTCTCCCTGTTGGCTTTAAATCTCACAAATAGCAGACATGTACTAATATACACCTATGTACTATGTACGTGTATGTACATGTACATATACTGCCAAGACTTTGTAAACTACACACACATGGATCCAATCTCACTAAAGCTCAGACTCAGAAGATACATGTACATGTATATGTACACATGTACCATAATTTATGCATTATAACCCAGATCTCTAACAAGCAACATGCTATAGTGCACATGTTGACGATATGCTATATAAGCAACTACATGTGCATGTATGAATACTTATGGGGAGGGCCAATCAAGTTTCAATTGATCAACTCAGTGTGGATTCGAACCCAAGTCACAACGATGCAAGTTGACAGAGTAAGATACATGTACAATGTTCTAGTACAGGATAAAGGATGTTTTCGTACATGTACATGTATGTATATGTACATGTACATGCTGGCCATCCAATACTTTGAAGTGTGAAGCTAGACCATCAAATATTAATACAAGGTGGATGGAGGGATTTCAGTTTCTTAATTTCACACGGCCGACTCCTCCAGCCTCATTCAAATGTCAACACACAGAGTACTTTGTTTAACTGTTGTAAGAGCAAACCTGCCTGAATTTGCAGCCTCAATGACATGGCCACTCTCTATCTTCTTTGGTGCATTCATGCTGACAAAGTTGAAAATCCTCAAGACTTCAATCAAAATTTCATCAACAATTTTTTGTTTGCCCAAATCATACCTGAAGAAACACAAATACCAGTAGCTTCAGGCAAACAGGTAAAGGCTTCTATTATTCTGAACCATTGTCCATTATTCCATGATGTAATTTGGTAGCACAGCTCGTCCATCTAATCAAATTTCAGAATACACAACGGAACTGAGGGACAAGGCATAGTAAAATGTTCATTGCTGTCCACGGTTCTTGCCAGGAAAAATTTTCTCTTTGTACTAAACATGTGAGGGAAGGGTCTAACTGGGAACACAAGATGGGGGAATAGGAAGGGTTGCTAGGATGAAGAGTTCAGAACAGAGCCACAAGAAAGGATGACTGGTAGCACTGATGACAACAGGAGAAGCAGCATCTTTATACACAACAGGTCATAATCCACATATGTCAGACAGAATCAGAAAAACCTATTAAAGATCAACAAATCCTACAAACCAATGTTCAAGTGCACAAATAACATTTGCCCAAGCACTGTGCATGTACACATACACTGGTGTATAACCAGCATCAAGCTTCCATAAAATGAAGTGTTTACCTATCAATCGACACAGTTTCATATCCTAGACAAGAAAAAACTTAAATTGAGTTTTGTTTGCCCAGTCAATCCACATCCCATGGTGTACATTATGTATTTGTACCAAATTGGTAAATTTCCACATGTACAGTATACAGCTTTATAAACTTACAAAGACTTTTTCACAAGTTTCACACCATGCACACAAGTACTAGATCTGCTATAAGAATAATTATTTGGCAACCCACAAACTTGTACATGTAACTTCTTGTTACATGTACATGGAATGTAAAGTACATGTATATGTACAAATGTGACTGCAGCGAAATGTGTTTTACATGTACATACACTGTACAAGTACATGCACATACATGTACATGTATCTCTCAAGAACAAAACAGCAGAAGCACAGTGCACAGTAACCCTGAATCCAGTATACATGTTCCGGTACCAGTACAGTCTCCATGTATGACTTTTGTTGACTATCTTACAGCATACACGCTCAAGAGAAGGACATCCAAAAGCATTTTATTATGGGAACGAAAGGTTAAGTTAGAATCTTCATAGAATTTTACAAGAGTTGACTGAGCAATGCCACTTTCTAAATTGTTCCAATGATACACAGAAATACAGTTGGTACAACTAAATACGTACCGGTAACATTTTGATGTAAAAGTGGAACAGATTTCTTCAGATACATGTACATGTACAAGAGTCATCAACTTCCATACATGCATGGCTCAGTGCATGCATTGAGTAAGTAATCCTAAGGAATCTGAAGTGTTTCGCTGACATCCACCAATCAAAGGTACGAGTACCAAGGCTGAGGCACAGACCCAAGAAATGAAAGAATGCATCAGTCACAGTGAGCGGTCGATTGACCTGGATGTATGTAGACCTGCCACCGAAATGGCACGCACTCAGCAGCTGGGTTATTTTTACCAGGAGAAGATGCTGGACTGAAGCCACAACAACTGCGTATCTTACATGTAAATGGAATCCTAATACACTAAAGTACATGTACGTATATATATGCATGGGAACGGAATCTACACATACATGTATGTACGTGTAGGAACATGTTTGTATGATGCAACTGTAAAAAGCCATTATCCATCTCCTTCCTCTTAGCACTGCGAGGACACTGTTTTAAAAAGGTGAAATCACTGCATTTGTCAATCAAATTTGGATTCATTACTTGCACTGCTCATTTGAAAGGGTCACAACATTTACATCACACTTCAATACAGTATGTCCCTTTAATACAATGCAATATATTATAGACACTGCCAATACTGTGCAAGTCCACAAAGTTAATGCTAATTTACATGTACACAAATACTAATATACATGTATGTACATGCACCATTGTAATGATAATGAAGACTTGTACATACATGTACATGTGCAATCTTATTGTGCACCTGGGAATTTCTTTATGATGAAATTTCAAGCTGCATGATCGATGTATTTGTGTACTTTCCTTCCCATTTTTATTTTTTTGACTTCATTTTTTAAAGCTACATGTAAATTTTCTTGTGACGGCACATAAGTCTCATTTTAGAGATCAACTGTTTGAAAGTTTAATTAAGGCCTGTGGGGTATTAATTGGTTGTTTAGGCTCTTTTTCAGATTGCTTTGAAGTTATGTGAATAATTTATGTCAACATTGATTTATTAAGATTAGAATTTTATGTTTTCATTTTCAGTAGTTGTTTAACTGCCTCAAAACATCTTTTAAATGAATACAACACTTTATAAATTCTGCATTATTATTTACAATGCAATGGAAATGATAGCTTTATAAAGAACAAAAAACAAAGAAAACTGGCTGATCCAATGAAAGTGTATCACAAATGAGCACTTTTTTAAGCTTCTGTTTTACGAAACTTTTTGCAAACTCAGTGGATAACTGTGAGGTTCCATGATGCATTATTCAAATAGCATTAAGGCCAGTACATGTAGCGGTCAAGATATCACTATTCCTAGAAAGATTGAAGTTTGATAACACAGATGCCATTCCTAGACAACATCTATCATAGCATCCCTATTCCTAGACAACATCAACATGTAGGCCCTACATTACCATGGCATACATGTATCCCCGCAAATCCTGATTGCCAAATTACATGTACTGTCCACTCATGTCTCAGCCCTCTTGACCAGACCAAAAAGCAATTCACGTTCATTTATCATGTACATGTAGATTAACCAACAGCACAGATTTAAGCAAGTATCCTGTCAAACTCAAATCTTGGCTCATAATTCAGACTTTTAACATTCATCTGAACAGACTGGTGCCCTTACCTGTCACCCTAATAATCCATTAACACATCAGCCACTACATGGTCAGAATACATCCATTCAGTGACCTCAAACTAAAAGCCAGAATAACTTCCAGACTGAAAAGCCCATTGAGATTTCTCACTCTCTACTGCTCTTTTGGAGGGCGCCAAGGTTTCTGAAAGCATGTTAGGAATACCAATGCTAAGGCTGAAGAGGGCAGCTAAATCATGCAAGGCAGATTGCATGGGGGGAACAGGTATTACAGTTTCTCTGGAGTCACTAATTGGAGTTGTGTAAGCATAGAGTCATACCCAGATGTTGATTTGAATCACAATACCCATACAGTGTATGCTTCTTGCTCATCACATAAATTACAATTATTAAAAATCACACATTCTGTGCCCAGGCAAGTGGTCAAGCAGACACCTTTCTCCCTCAGTTTTTTTTTAAGAGCCATTTTGAATAGCAAAGCTGTTACAAAAATTCTCTTTTTGAAATTCCTGTTACATTTTTTTGAACTACGTGAAGATTCACTTTGCTTTGACCCACAGGAGATCAATGTTTGTTACTAAATACTTCTCCAAGATGCATGTGCATGTTAAGTCAAACATGGTAAAGGCATGTATGAGCTCGTAAGGGCACTTGTAAAAGCAAATATTTCCTCCGGCCAAATCATCTAAAAAATAACCCTGTGTAAAGTCACAATTATCCTGAAAGGTTCTTGTCTACATGCATAAAACAACTTTCTTTATTTTAAGTACAAATAACTTCACAATTCTTCTCTGAAAGCTTGTACACATGATGGTACATGTACATGTAGTCTGTGGTATTACATTTTTCATATTGTGACTATTAAACTTGGAGGCAAGTGCAAACTATAGACCAGCAAAATTTAAAGTTCCTTTCTAATACACTGTACCTGACTCCAGCCTGCATGGAACATTTCAACAGTCCACACTTCAACAGCAAGTTGGTGAACCCCATTAGAACAAGCTCTTGTACATTTAAGTTGTAGGAAAATCTGCCACACACAGTAAACAGTGTCAAGTACTTGCCCTCTCCCATCCTAATCCAAGACCAGTTGGACTACTGCTATACATTTTTCCCAACACAACCAAAAACACGAATTACATTAGAATTTCTCAAGAAAAACAGCCAAAAAAGACAGCCTCTTCAACCAAACAGATAACATGAATGAGGAATATTGAACATTTTTGTCTAGAAAACAGTGGAAATCCGTATGAATTGTCAGCAATGTTTCATCAGTTTCATCTTAACTGCGTTCCGTACATGTAGGTTGTTACAATCCAATTACAAAAGAACCAACTTGGGTTTTCAATTAAGACAATGAATAACAAAAGAAAGACAACAACCACAGAAATGCAAAATTATCATTTTCAGTTTTATGTGTTCCTGAAGCTTTAAGATTTCTAATTATTTACATAGATGCAGATCTGCATGTAACTTGAATGTTAAGTGAATGAAAGGTTCAATGTGAAAAAAATGCTGAGAATGGTGAAACTCTTGAAAAATCCATTCTGGGGCAGATACAATCCAGGTGATTTATTCTGCTCATGGTGCCCTTCACTCCTCAGCTGAAAATTGACTAGTGACATTCTAAGCAGGTGTGGTGTAAATATGTAATGAATGGCAAAACAAGATGGCCCCTCTCGCTTCTCTCTCCCTCTCTCAATCTGCAAAGCTTGAAAGGTTGGGTCTTGATGTGTGCACGAGGTATCTCCCCTAGAACTGCAAATGGAGGACATGCGTACCAATGGATATTAGCCTTGATTGATACAAGATACATGTAGGCCTACATGTACTTGCTGTAAAGCCTACTGTAGTGCTACAATGTATGAGAGCAGCAGTAATTCTTCAATGGTACACATACTCGAATATGCTACTTAGTGGTGTATTACAGCTCAATTAGTCTGCCAAAGACTGGCCATGCTATGAAACAAACTTGAAAAATGACATGAAATTATAATAGTCATTTTAGACAATGACTCATAGGACACCTGGGCATGTACATGTACAAGTACGCATACACACATTTATAGAACATACCGGTGCATGTACGGTATGTACATGTATGTACATGTACACTGGTACTGATATTGCATTCTTGAATAGTTCCAGTTAGAACACATATTAGTCGTACAACCACCCAAATCATGACCTGAATAACTTCTAAAACTGACAACTTTCTGAGGTTCATTTTATGTACATATACATGCAGACTACTATGTCCTGGTAAATGTGTAGGGCACATGTAGCATGTTTTGTAGAACACAACAGATGTCACTATGTAATGAACAGTACATGTACATAAATCTTGAGCTACGAAAGTCTTGAACTTTGTGGAAGAAATTCAAGAGGTGTGCATGGACAACAGTCAGAAGATATGGGTAGAAGCAATATTTGTGCTTGTAGACATATACCTGTAAGTGTACATTGTACATGTTCAGCATTACAGTGTAAAATTCCCTTGGTTCTAAGTACTGTACTCCTTTCACAATCCAGATACACACTGTCACAGAATATAATCGACAAGCACATGTACATGAACATAACCCCAACTCAAAACCACAAAATGTTCATCTTGAGAATACCATTCAAATTAACAACACATGCAGACCTGGAGTAACTGTGGGTCAAAGTTAAATGCGAAGAAAACTAGCTAGCTTTGCAGCTGGCTTACATTATCTTGAGTCGCTGTGTGTAAAGCAAAGACTGCACAGCCTCTGAGGAAATCAGGAGGCACCATCTTTGTATCAAGCTACTTCAAGTGCAAGTAACTAGAAGAGGCAATACTTGGGATAACAATAACATCACGTAGGAGGTTCTAAATGTTACAATAACAAAATGTGTGCAACTGTTATTCTATGGTATTCAAAAGGGAGCAGAAAAAATCCCATTACAAAAATTAAATCATGATGAACGATGACATTGGTTGAGAAACTTACAGAATGGAGACTTTTAAAGAGAAATTAAAGAATTGGGTGTCTTCTTTCTTCACTTTGTCAAAATGCCCCACAATAAAGTACAACCATGCTTCATGTGAGTGCTTGAGTTATTCCTCCCTTCCTGTAGGAGTGGAGATAACACAAATCAAATTTAACAGAATATGGGTCTACCGTCTATGTCATTTATCCCTGCGCTAGCACAAACCACAAGAGGAAGTCTGCAACAAAAAGTAAAGATGCTACAACTAAAACTACAAGCTAACATTTTTGAACAGCTCAGCAAATTCAGCAGTTTACCTGGCCTAAAGGCCAGTAAGCCTACACGTAGGTCAGCTGTCTACCGTATGGCAATTTTGTTATCATCTCTAGACTTTGCATAGCCTGATATACATTAACGTATACACATATGTATGTTTGAAGATGTCAGCGTTAATGATCTAGTTTCAAAATGTGCCCTTTTCCTTCTACAGGTATTTTATGAAACAAGATAAATATGGTACATGAACCACTACCAGTACAATGGGCTCATAGTTTTCAACTGGGGTTTGAATACATGTACTTTATGCCAGACTGTTGAGCCTAACCATGGACCCATTATGGTCCAACCTGTGGGGTAATGGCACCTGTATCCTTGGGTAAGACATTTTTGTCCTCTAATTACATCACATATGCTTCTCCCAGTACAGAAGTGAAATGGTTAACCTGCAGGGAAAGAGATGATTACTGTATTTGCAGCAATAGGGTAGTAGCATTGAGGAAGGAAACTATGGTAACAGCTAAAGACAAGGAGGTATGCTTTATGGGGCCAAAGCATGGGGGTAGTAATAATGTGAAGCATTTTAACCTTTGATGAAAGGGTTAGGCACTATTTTCATTTGCATGTTTTTATGTCCTTGACATGTCAGTATGCAAGGCCAATATTATGAACCTTAACATGTACAAAAAATGTATGAAATACCAGTACCTGAAAAATGTTTGCATGGAACTACATGTAATAAGGATAGAACTAATGAGCTGATAGAGAATGTTTGAACATGTCTTGTAATGATGCAGCTTTGACGTCAAGGGATTGGTTGATGTCCTGTGGTTTCAATTTTAATGTAACTATCTGCTTTCACAGAGTGTGTTTGCAGATCACATGCACAGTACTGTACATGTGCTCAGTGTACTAGTGACAGTGTACCTTCACTGAAAGGTTTCACAGGTAGTCACGAAGCAGGTTAATAAGCCACAACAAAGACTGACAAGTTCTACCCATGAAAAGAACAGAATTCAATCATTGTTTTCTGCCTTTTTCAAAGCGTATTGAACTGAGACAGACAAGGTCACGAATTCATCCAAACTGACTTAGAGTCTTTAGAAAAATCCCTCACAGTGTTGCAGCGTATCATTCAACACCTTGGTTGTAAAGGAATGCCAAATCATTTCAGGATCAGTTGTTCAACAGCTTTGCATTGGTTCAAAGGATCTTTTAATATCGGCCCAGATGTACAATACATATTTACACTATGATGCGTGTGAAGGCATCTTTATGTTAATAACAGCATACGTGGACTTGCAATGGAATTTTTCAGTATTCTTGTAATAAAAGAAATAAATGATGTAGCGTTCTGACAGTACAAGCAGAATTGTTTTAATACAGGAACAACAACATGAGACAGACCCTACATGCAAAAAGTGTGCACGTTTCTCTGGCAGTGGGATCAAAGAAAGTTTCACAACATACGTATAGGTTTTTCCCTTCAGTGATAAATTCAAGCACTGCATATTCCATACTGTCCTGGAGCTCTGAAAATGCCACTAGAAATTGTTGAAAAACATACAAGTAGGAGAAACACTGTACAGACTACATGTTGTCCAACAATGGCACAGAGTGGCCTTTTTCAATCTTTCCACTCAAAGGCAAACCAGGCATTCCTCCGAAATCCACCTCCTTGAGTACATGTGTACATGTACACAGAGCTCCTTGACATGCAGTGGTGGAGTTTTATTTCTCGCATTTGCAAGAATTCCATCTGTCAAGCATCTGCTGTCAACAGGCGCAATTAAGTCAAACAAAATATACAGGATGCAATTGGTATATAATTTGTATATACATCAATTCCAGGAGCCTATGCTGGTAGTAATTAAAGCCTTACCTTGATTTGATCATTGGACGTAGTCAGTTCAATAGTAAAATAGCTGAACCACCATTGAGTCTGCTACCACTATCACTAAGATTAAAATCCTTACGTACTGTAATGACAGTTATAAAGGTCAGTACACACAGCTGAAATGTAGCGTATATCAGATGGCAAAACTGACATCAGTGGCAGCGTGATTTGCTGGTTGCATGCCTAGTGATTGAGTACACTATAACATGCAGATATCCCCACACCACTCCAGATCAATCTTCATCCAACTAACCATACAGCTACTATAATCATGACAATCTGAACGTAGACTCACTGTACATCTGAACAGACCTTTACTTTGCCCTGCCACCCCTTGCAGGTCCTGCCACAAATCACAATGGCACACAATATGCAGTGCTTCTCATCTACGTGTAGCTTGTATTAATAGCCAGAGGCACCCAATGAGCACTGCTCCCATAATGGGACAGCCCAATGGAAAACTCAGATTAAATGCACTGGGATGGTCAACCCTGAAGAACAGGGGTGGCAGGAATCAATGAGGGACAAAAAAATGCAATCCAAGAAGTGATGACTTGACAGTTGTTTTCTTCACTATTCAATCCCTAAGGTAAAAAGTTAACCAAAAAGAGACTTTTTTTCTGCTGTAACAGACTGGTACAACCCAGATTTTGCCACTGCTTTATACAAAAAAGTATATAAAAATTACACATTGTATTACATTATGCACATGTATTGACCATACTGTTCATCACATGAAAGGTCTAAACAGAAATGCTACAACGCATTTTATTCAAAAAAGTACAGTACAAAAAATATGTTCACTGTTCCTTTCCCTCCCTATCTTTCAAACAACAAAACTTCACAACTAAAAGGCCATGTTTTAATAAGTAAACATGGCACGCTCAGAAAATCAAACAAATCTTTCATTCAAAATGCAAATTCAAAACTTAAAACCTTGCATATTTAAAAGTGATCACAGTGCAAATTTCTGATTCAAAATACTAAAATAAATAGAGTAGCTAGCACTTCACTTACATCCATCCTGCATATCTCTCACCAGTAGATGTGAAGACCAAAACAAAATCTATTTTCACTGCCTACAGCAAACAATACATACGGTGAATGCACATGGGCTGTGTACATGTAGTAAGCGTATGCAGATTATTTCAGGCAATTAATCAATTATTTGAAACCGCAGCAGCTGTGTGGGATTTATGAACAATTAAAATCACAGCTTACTCAAACAAAAAACACTCCCGTAACACAGCAGGATGTGTCTGGCAGAAGAAAAGGCTACATTATTGATTTGTCTCTTGAACAGAAAATATGTACGTGTACATTGTACAATACACAACATGTACATGTACGTACACCGTATATGTACACGCACCAGGTACCTTGCATGTGTCGGTGGACATGTTGAATGATTCAAAATTAATGTACAAATTTGCATAAACTGTTCTTCAGTTATAGACAATATCCTTTGTTATCCCATGTATGCCTACATTACCTAGTCAATGCAATGTGCATATAATCTGAAAGTTCACTTCCAGGGTGAAATAAAATAAGCAAAAAAGCACACAAATCAATGGAATTTTTACATGTACAATGCACAATGTGTACATGCATGGTTTCTAAATTCTTTCCAACCACTACAGTATCACTATGCCTATTTGTTTGTGAGAGATAAGTCATTATGTTATACACGTACATGTACATACATGTACTAGTAGTTTCCACATGTTTGGGTTTACACATAACATGTAATTTGGGAGTACACGCCATCACTGAAATGTTGCTTAAACTTTAAAATCCTGAATTTCACACATGAAGTTCAACGATGCAAATTCAATACCAAATTTGGGAACAATTTCTCCTACATGCTCTAGCAGAAAAATAAAACGAAATATCATATGGCATCATCAAAACTGACATGCCCTGAAGAACAAACCATTGCTAGGCGTTCATGGACCTCACAATCCCTTACTTTTTATCTATCCTCCTAACTATGCCCACTATTTGCTCAGGACACAAAAACCAGGGGGCTGTCAAAACTTGTTGATAATACTGTGCTGATGCTTCACACCTATAGATACTTCTTACAAGAATAATGTAGATGTAACTTTCATGAGACAATGGCTATGACGCATGCTTCCATCATGCAATTTTAATTTTTACAAAGGAAAGTTGCTAGGAAGTTAAATCTATACACCAATATCTCCTGAAAATACATTCATCATCTGGAAATGAGCTGACAAAAGCTCTATAAATTTTTCAGAATATGAAACCCCTGTCCACCTGACAACAGATCGAGTGAGAAAATGAATGGCTCTTAAGATCCTGATTTGCTATCAAATTTAAAATTTAAAGAGAAAAATATTGACCTGCGGAAGTCAGTTTCCTCAGAGGTACCAACAAGATTGTGGATTATATACATGTACATGTACGTGTACAGATAGATGACGTCAAATGCATACAATGTGGAATTACTAAGGCTCCTGAATATAAAAGCAGTAAGAACCAAATTATTCAGCTAGGGTTTGCCTAAACTTACACTGCCTTTTTGTAACCATTATAAACACAATGCCCTAAAGTTGACTCTTGTAGAATACAGCAACACCCATCATAAGTTTAATTCTGTAAGAATGTGAAGAGACTTTAAAGGTTAAGATTCATACACTTTGGAAAAAGTCTGTTGAAAAAACTACCTACAAGTAGATGCTGATAAACAGTGCATGAACATCATGAATTACCCTAATTGAGCAAGAGAATCGCGAAGCTGATCATCCCTCTATTCTATGTTATAACATTCTCAGTAGACAGTTGCCGGCCTTTTGCACCTCATGGGATAACGGTAATAAGGCAATTATTTTAGACATTCCCCAATGTACCTAACAAGGATTAAACTCCTGATCAGTTCAAACCTTAATCCATTCTAAGTAATCTTATTTATCCTCACACCACTAATAACCAAGACAAACAACAACAGCTATAAACACCACCCTGACAAAAACCACAAGTGCTGCACATATACATGTAAATCCCTATGCTGGTCAACATCACAGCACAGGGAAACACCTAGTCTCTTTGTACTGAATTCAGAGAGTTTATAACTAACTTGCATTGTAGCTTTCAACACTTATACTAACTCTTGGGTACACCATTTGTGTAATACGAAGATACCAATAAGCACACATTTACACAATTACCTGATATCTCAGGATATGGCAAGTGATGCATTTGAGAGTTTTAACAGCTGGGGCTGTGAGCCAGGCCAGTCACTAACTCAACTTGCTCAATATTATATCAACTCATGTAAATCCCAAGATGTCAAAAACTTCACCTCTTCGCCTTAATACATGTACCTGTAGATGTACCGTATCAATGCACTATAGTCAAACAAGAATAATTCATCCCAAATATATCAAGTGCCCAAATCAAATAAAGTATAAGTCATTGACTTTTTAAATATTTAAATATTATCTTTGAATGCCTTGAATTTGTTCAAAAGCATGATAATGTGCATAATTTTTACAGTGCATCATGGAGTAGGGCTACAGATTTTCATTTTCATTAAAATCCTTGCAGCAGTTCAAATTTTTTACATTTTAAGCAAACACAACTTCCATCACAATGGTAATTAAACTTCTTCTATTTGCCAAGCTTCCATCCATTTTTCATTTATTTCCCGTTGGGTGTCTGCGTTCCATTGGTGTGTCAACAACACGTGCAAGAAGGAACAGTCATTTATGCTTTCCTATCAGATTATTTGAGCAGCATCTCAAGATGTAAGCATGCACCCTACTGTTATCTGGAGTACATGTACCTTTAAATGATATTACTGGTCTACAGTGGAGCAGATCAGTAACTTTAGGGTCAATAAGACATCTCATCAACAGGAACAATCAATCAAAACTTCCAAGCATTCCAGCGACCAATTCATCATATCACCAGACCTCAAAGATAATTAGAGTTCCTCATGATTAAGCACACAAATAAGACAAATCTGGCATTGCTCAACCGACCATGACTTCAATCACTAGCAAAAGGTCATCTTGTGGATAGCATGTCATCTGCTTTAAGCATACTCTGAAACCACTCAAAACAGTCCACAAATCTGAACATGCTTTGGCTATTTTAAACATTCACTTTTTAGACATTATTGACAAATTCTGGGTATTTTTTTTTCAACAAAAGACTAATGCCAACTTGCGCATGAAAATTGAATCCTCTGTTAGGAATACATACGATGAATTGAATGATGTGTTCATTATGTGGTTTTATGTATGATCAACTACAGTCAAGATCTCTACCTTGAATTTCTACAGTGTACACGACTGGATTCAATCATATCAGGACTTAACCAGTATTTTTAAATTTTGATAGATAGCAATCAACAATTAAATGCTAAAACACAAAAGAAAATTCTTGCAAACCCTACAGAACATTTGTAACACCCAAACACATCTTAACTAAAACAACTTAACACACTGTACAATATCGATGCATGTGTTCTAAGTTTCAGATCACATCCAAGATACATCAATCTCCAAACAAGGCTCAATTACTTGCAGATATTTATCATTTGTTAGCCTTCTTACCAGTACGTCACTGCTGACGAGACAACACGGCACGCCAAGGAATCATTTCTTTACCTCTTCTCAAATGTCTCCAGCAAGAGACAGCAAATCTTCCCAGGTATAGCCTACAACCAAAACCGTCACATGTAATCGACCTTCCGAGTGTCACGGTTTGCATTTTTACCATCTTTTTTTTTCCTCTCTGTGAATTCCAATCAAGTTTTTCTGTTCAGGTATTCTGTCCTCCAGCAGGCCTTGGGCAAATTCTTGCTTTCCTCTTCATTTTCATGCTTCCCTTTGCAAACAATTGTACAATCCTGCTGAACGGAATAGCAAGAGGGAGAATGACCAGTTTGAAGGAAGGGTCGCTGTTCTGTGTTTCAGGATGTGCAGCATAACATAGTATTAATAGTGATTGGAATGAAAGTGAGGAAGGAGGAAAAGACATGAGTGTGTATTAAAGTGTATAGAAGAAATTATTATGTTCAGATCCTGGTTTCCATCATTTCAAGTCAAATATGTACAATGCATGCCGGGTGTGATCAGTCAGTCTGTGCAATTACTTAATCTTTGCATGATCTGTCAATCTCATAGTAGGATTTGCCAATAAATCTGCCATCAGCTGATCCTTTTTTAATAGTTTGTGGTTTTTGGAGACTTTTGAAAAAGAGCAGTAAACTTGGAGACTCACACAGAATTGACTGACAATGCGACGCAACTGCCAGGGAGGCCATGTTCCCCCCCACACTTTTTCAACTGGAGGGGGGCATGGCCCCACTCACTTTTTGCTGGTCCTATAATTGGGTGGGGCTTAATAGATCAGTCTATGGTCTCACAACCCCC